CTCACAGATCTCGAAAACAAGCTCGGGATAGCACCCAATTTTTCTTTCCAGATTTGGAATCAGCATTAAATTTCAATTCGGAAAATCGAAGTTTTGAAAAAAGTTTAAATYGTTTTTCAAAARTAGGCAGTCACCTTAAGTCRTTTTTTCTTTTTCACTCGTGTATTTTTCATTACAGCATCAATGGTTCCTCCAGCAAGAGGCACAGGTGAGTAATTCTTTCATTCCTGACCTACCACTTGTATCTATGACTCTAATGGACGGTTTCTAGTAGACACATTAACTGCAGACCTTTGCGCTACTTGTATTCACCTCCTTCATTATTTTCTTAGTATCCATCAAAAGACTAAAAGACGGAACACAGTTTGAAATAAGTTGGACCATGAATGAGAATGTTACCAACACGTACCTTCAGTACCGTGAAGTAGACGTACGAGCGCGTCGTGAAGACGTTCGCTGGAATGACGTCATTGGTGCACAGGGTCTTCCTCGTAACGTTACCAAGTTCCTTGTTGTCAACCTAGATGCCGACAAGACATACCAGTTTAGAATACTCTTCAAGGAGGCTGATGAGAGTGGATTCAATGACGCTATGGTAGTCGAGTCAGATATAAGTGAGTTGAGTTTACGAATCATTCAGTATATTGTATTGCTTTCTTTGCTTACTTTTGTCAGTAAAACATTTTATATTGATAGATTAAAGCATTTTATATCAATAGATTTTTCAATCCAATTTAGCACACAACGTGATGGCGTTGATTTAGAATGCCTACAAGTTATCAAACTGTGTAAGAGTTTTGCTACACGTTTTCTTCTGTTCTCTTTACTCACAATTCCTCGTACAAAGAAATCGTCATGATCCGGATAGAAAAGACTGTAGACTTGTTTTATTTTGTCTGGGCGAGATTTGCAATATCAACTAAGATATCTAAACCTTTCATATTGCCCTTCATTTCATTATTAAATAACCTTGTTTTGCGACATTAAATAACAAACCTGTGGGCCTTATATATGATTGAAATAAAATTTAGACTTGGCACAGGAGAGAACCAATAAACAACTCTACTCACATAAAAAAAATAAAACCTATAGTTTCTTTTAAACTTTGGCTATTTTTCTGTCTGTTTTCTTTAGCGTAGATAATATCTATTTTTACTATTTTAAAGCTGGTTTTATGTCAATAAACAGTCTTTGAACTCACCATACTTTTGTTCATTGTAGTATACCCTGTCGTCAAACCAGCCGAACAAACAGGTCTAAAAGAGCATGAACTGATAGCCATCATTGCTGCTTGTGCTGGGTTTCTTCTCATTCTAATCGTTATTCTCTGTCTTTGTTGCTGCATGAAACGCAAGAAGCCTTACGGAGGTATGTTATGGAAATCATAGAAGTATAAGACAAAACCACAGGGAGCCCGATATAGGTAAAGTGAAACAAAATCGGGGAAAAATCGACTTCAATTACTTTTCGTGTTGGAGATCAATATAGTGTCCACTAGGACCTAACATCAACAATCACCTGCCATGGGTTTTCAAGTTGGGTTCCCTGTGGTGGAAACCATATGTTGAAGACTTGAATCCAATTGGTTATTTGAGTTGAGTTYGTGGTTTTGATTGTGGTAGAAAAGCTACAGCTGGGGAAGGGATTTGGTGAAAGAAGATTGTCTGGCGGTTGAAGGATTTGTATTTGGGGTATGTTGAGGGTATTGAATGTGGTATTGACATTAGGGAGGTGGCTTGAGGGTGTTGGCTGAAGTTAGTGTAGACATAAAGTGTCTAGGAGTGGGGCTGTTCTAGAGAAACGATTCCAGAATTAATTTAGTTTTTGATTCAACAGCTGATTCTGTACAGATGTCACAGGCTGCCAGGTAAGCCAACTGGTTTTATGTCTCCAAGGATTTTCTTGTCAAACCTAGATCATCCATCTAGATCCTCTCCAGATCCTTGGTCTATCTTTATTACTATACGTTAGCTACCTGTAGCGGATATTCCACAGGAATCCCACAACCAATCTGATTGATGTATATTTCTTTTCCCAGTGCCCCCAACCTTTTTAGTTATGGTGACACCGATGACAATGGCCGTCGTAGCTATGTAACTGAGTCCATTGAAGACGATCCCTTTATCGAAGCGCACATTGCAAATGAGATGAAAAAGAAAAAGAGGCCAAGTGAGAATGGAATCAACCATGGTTATGCGTCTCAAGGTAGGTTGGTGGTTTTGTCTCTYGCATGGAATTCTGAAGCAAACGAAAGATTTTGTTATGTGTCCTATTAGATCCCACAATCCAATGGGCTGGAAGACTCTAGTTTCAAGTTCTCTGTCGCTCAGGGTTAGCCTCGATTTTTTGCAGAATAATTATGTGCTCCAGTAAAGGTCCTTAGTATTTCAAAGTGTTCGTATTGTTGAAGTGCATTCTTTACTTTACCGTTGGTATTTGTGAATATTTACACACTGATTCGAGGCTAAACCTGAGTAGACGAGTCTGTAATCAAGAAACACAGCGGTAATTTGGTACTCGAAAAGGGTCTATTGTGGGTGAACTAAAAGCTTCAAAATCTTGTGTGATTAATTCAGTCCCATAATCCCTTGCGGTCATACAAGTCACTTTGAGCTTTGAAAAGGAGGACTGTGAGGAGGTATGGGTCAATCAACATTTTTATGCACTCACCTTGTCAGAAGCTTGACGGTCAAAGCTAGTGCGTTTTTCTATTTTTTATACTGTTTGGAGTATTTAAATTATGAACAAGGGGTGTAAGGATGCAAAAGATCTTTACATCTGTTAGTAAGCGGCAGGTTAACGCCAAGCAACTGTCTGTGAAGCACATGAACGATACTTACAAAACAATCTTAAATACAATTACACCGCGTTGACTGACAACTTCATACCCCGCCATTGGAAGGAGACATATTGAACGATATTGGACCACAGAAGTACATCATGTAAATGACAGGGATTGTTTTAGAGGGTCAGGGGCGGATCCAGGGAGGGGCAAAGGGGGATGTAGCCTCCCTCCCCCCAAAGGACGTTGGTTATGCTTCTAAAAGTGGAATCTAAAAGCATAGTTTTTAATATTTTTTCTGTAGTGTCATTTGGAAAATTCGGTCAAGCCCCTCCCCTCCCCCCCCCCCTCATATTTTTGGCTAGATCCGCCCGCGAGGGTGGTGTGGAGAAAAGGTTGGTAATCATACGGGTATGGTATGGAGATACAAAGTACAGGTGATCTGGTAAACACACATGAATGGAAGTGAAATCAAAAACAAAAATGACTTCAAATTAAAACCAACTTCCTTTCAAGTCCCATATCTCACTTCTATCCTTCACTTCTCTTTTCTGATCTAAATTCTCTTCCAACGACGATAAAAAAGACTTACTTTGCAAAACAAGTCATCGCTGATTCATTAACTTTACTACAGACCGCGGATTCTTTACGTGAAATCTTTGAAGGGGACACTAGTGAAGCTAGGGTATTTGTACGGAAACAAGTAGAAGAAACGGGTATTTCTAAGATCTGCAGCTAGTGATTACTGGCTCAATGACTGATGGACAGTTGGCTTTGTATTACCCTGCATTAGGTTTTCAAACCGCGTGAGAGAAAATGAGTAGAGCACTCAAAAATCATTTGAATTTGTATGAGTCTGATTGAAATTTAGCTTTTTTCGTCCACCAAATGAAAATTTTGACTTCCGGTAACTTTCCTGTACCACAGGGACCCCGAAGATACAATTTAGGAAACCTTCTCTGTCTTGTTCTTGTCTTCAGTCTTGTGCATGTCTGTGTAACTCCTTAAAGATTCTTTTTCGAATCGAAGGAACTGTTTACCGTGTCAGTAGCTTCCATTCATCACCTTTACCACTTTATTCTGTATCGATCAGGATCAATGCGACATCCCGAAATGCTTCTTAATCCAGGATCCCGAYCCGGGATGCGGGGAATAAGTCAGAGCCAACCCCTGCTCGATGCCAGGGGAAGCTACTCATCCGGCGGTCCTCGGAGAGACTTCTCTACCTTACCGTCGTACCACGAGCCACCCACCTTTGAAGAAGCCGTGCGACAGTCGGTGAAGAAATCCAAACAAGCGTTGTCTACTGGAGATCTGACAGGAAATAGAGTAGGCCCACCGTACAGCCGTTCAAGACCCATATCGCCTTCTGACAGTGATTCGACAAGTGATGCGGAGCCGTTAAGCAGGCATCCAATGTTTAAAGTCAGGCCAATAGATGAAGCTATTGATCCTAGATACAAGTCGGCTCCTTCTTTACAGTCTCCTATGGAGAGTCCTGTACGACGTCCACCCGTAGTGTACCCTCGACCACAAAGGAAAGGTATTATAAAAGAATTCAGAACAGGAAACAAGAATTGATCAAATAACAGTCAGCTATTGATAGAAGTACTTTTGTTTTGTTACATTTATGTCTATGTATTTTCTTCATGCATTAGTGTGTTTGAGTCTTGAACTGTGATATGTTAGTGTATTTGTTTGTGAAGGCCAACTCGTTCCCTCCATTTTGGGGGGTATTTTAGGGGGAATAGGGTCCATACTAAAAGGTTCATACCTGCAAAAAAATACTAACATAAACGATGACATTCCGTTCAGTCAAATTTTCTTTATTTWAAAAAAAACCTCTAAATAATAAACATGATGAATAACAGTAGTAATAATCATGTCAACACATATAACACACATTACCGTACAATAACGCATTTTCGTGATGAGTAGATAAGACATGGGGATTTCATCTCATGGTCGGCGGTTGATGCTAAAATAATGTGGGCTCACAAATGAAGTCATTCACAACTACATAGACGTTTTACTACATGTAAATAATGAACAATGCATGGTTGGTGCTAAAAAAATCATCCATAAAATAACACTACGTAATATAATTTATTTGTTAAAATAAATCTGGTGAGAGTAAATAAAGTGCGCGTTGTTGTTTTCGTAGTATACGATGATTATCCGGTAGACATGTTTGGTTCTCCTCCATTGGACTTCATGGATCCGCAAGACGATCACTACCACGAGGCGCACGAGGCTGAAACAGGATGTTAGTAACTAAAATAAATGATAAATAATATCCTAATAATTCTAACACAACAGTGTTCTTGTTTAACGATTCGGGACAGATCATCCCTACTTTTGGACCTTTCGCTAAGTTTGAACAATTAAATCCTGATTTTTTGTAATAGACATTTTTACTTAATATTTACTTACGGTGCTAAATGACTTAAAGTCTGTTTTCCCCACTCAAAGAAGAACACTGAAAAAACACATAAAAATTAAACTTCAATCAGTCATTAACCTTCCTCATACTTTTTAACCCCAATTAAACATATATAAATCAAAAATAAATCGTCAAAAATAGTATGGTCTGAAGGGAAACCATACGCCTGACCTTAATATCGTAGTTTCGTTTTTTGCGTCTGCAATACACATATATTTCTTGTGTAATATAGTTCTGTTAGCTGTAGAAAAAGGAAAAAGATTGATAGTATATTTATTGTAAGGGCAGTGTAAGATTGTGCAGATAGAAATAAAGAGATACGAACCCAGGTAGACCAGTAGGCAGTTTTTTGAGTGAATTCCTAGATCGCCACTCTTCTCAGCTTCATCTTTCCTCCATTTTTTCTCTTTCTGAAAACGCATTTTCATCTTGTAATTTCTTGTGTTTCTCGAAGTACTCACAATCTTATCCTTTTTTCTCTTCTAAACATCCCTAGCCCTACCCTCCACCGTCATTAATTTGCTCTCTATTCTAATTATTCCCTAGGGCCACCCCCACAGTATACTCCAGACGACCGTGACATACCAGGAATGGAAGATGGCTATGAAGCACGTGTCAATAAACGAAGGCCTATATCTGGTGATATTTTGGAGCTCGAGGACTATCCATACAATGGGCGCGATAACCTTCCAGACCTACCACCACGCATGCCTGAACTATCAAATGGTCGAGGAACAATGTACAAGGAACCTAGTGAGTCAGCGTTTTATAGAGAACATATCTTAGCGCTCTCTCTAGGCGCTCATGTCCTGTGTTTGACGGTCAGAGATAGTGTTTTTTATGATTAACTGAAACAAAAGCCCGTTGCAGACGTCTTCAGCGTCAGTGCAATCTGTGGCTTAGTGCCTGTCGACCTTAAAAAGAAATTTGGTCAAAATGTATACTAATATTTGACTGGTCGTATTTTCTGTACGTATTTCAGACGACGTGTCATTTCCTTTATTTGGATGCAAATGAAACAAAGAATCCTATTTTCAAAGGAATGACACGTGGTCTGAAATGGGCAAATGAACGCCCAAGGTAAAGAGGTCTATTTAGTGAAAAAATAGAAAACGCGCGCTTCAGACACGAATGACGAAAAAGTGCGCGCGCGTGCTGTGTGCTCTCACAAAACTCTCGACCCAACCAATCAGAACACGAGATTTATGACAGTTATTTTATATTGACTGATAATATTATTTTAATTACAGTAGGTGAGACTCTTCCCGAGCCGCCTTCATTCCTGCGTGATGTGGGATACGATGATGATGAAGATGAAGTAGACTCTGCACCATATCATCCACGGTCTTTCACAGAACCTAGAAATAGAGGCAGACAGGTCAGTATTGCTGATTCTTTTACTAGTTAGATATGTGTACACCATGACACCTTGAAAAATGGAGGACACTTTGTATGAAGGTGAAAAATAACGACGCACGGCACAGTATTGCTGA